TATTTTAGGCAGTTTTACATAGTATTTTAGATAAAGAGAATGTTAAAATAGTTCTGTATGTATGTCAACAGAAAGATGTGAAATATTTTTTATCTGATAATTTACTGACCCCAGTTGCAAAACTTTTAATTCGACAGCAATTCCTCTTTATCACCTCCGAATATATGCTAATTAGCTTCTTCCTCCCCATCATGCATGCTAATTAGATCAATCTATTTAAAAATGTGATAATGATCATTTGCACCTAAGGCTATGTTCACACATACGGCGTAAGGCTGGCTTAAGCCTGGCGTAGCGTACGCCTTTGTGTGTGAACTAGGTAGTGGCGTTGTTAACGCCACTCACTACGCCACGCCCTGGGCGTTATCAACGCTACCTGCAGACCCCAGATTAGCTAACGCCGTGGAGCTAACACCAGTGATGCTTGAATGATTTTGACCTCGGGTTGAGATTGACCAATCACGATTAGTTTTACAATAAATATACAAGTCAGCTAGCCTCCTTTGCTAGAACCGAAAGCGTGTGAACAGTTCACTGTGTTTTTCTTCAAGGGATTTTATTGTGAGAGTGTAGGTCTATTGTTTGGATAAGAAAATCATACAGATCATAAAGAATGTCAGCTCCTGCTCGTTCCTCTTGGATTAAATGCCAAAGAAGATTCATTCTCAGTTGCTGATGGCGAAATTGTCTTCGGCAAATTGACTTCATATACTTGACCACAACCAAGCAAACAAGCACAGTTTCCATGTCTAGGCCTACATTGTTTAACTCATGAGCTACACTTTCTTCAACAAAAAGAAATAAAAGTGGCAAAAGCGAAGACAGTAAAATGTTAGGCAACATAATCGATCAAAACAGCGCGTACAACAACCATGGAAGTATAAATAATAACAATGCGATTAGTCCTCCCATCATCATCAACTGGAGGAGGCTGCTGACGCACTTCCCTTTTTTAACGTCAGGCGTTAATAGCGAAACCCGTTCGTGTGAACACCTTGGCATTTTAATCCGTGGATTAGCTTACGCCTTGCGTAAGCCACGCCAGCCTTACGCCGTGTGTGTGAACATAGCCTAGGTTACTGTATTGACCTTGAGATTGATATTGCTGAGGTTTTAGCTGACGTTAAATTGAGTGTAACAAAACTACTCCGGAAGTAAATTTCAACTTATTCCATAGTCGACCCATTCTCTGTTTACTTTCTACTGCTGCTATAACTGGCCCATGTACGCACAGCGCAGCATGCCAAAACAATATTTGAGCTCATCAGCTTGTAAATGCTGCTTTAAAATCTGTATGTACGCTAGTTTATTCAAGATTATTTCTCTGAAATGGTAATCTACAAATCAAATGTGTAGCTATGCTACTAGCCAGTTTTATGGCTCCAATGTTGTGAAGATGTTATGCTGATGATGAAGGAGAGCTGCAACCAGGCCTGGGCCTTAACCCTATTGAATTTTGCACGTTGCACTGTGGCCAAAACATTTGGAAAAACAATTAATGTTGATTTATCCTCGCCTCCGGCTCCATGGGCATACCATACACAGTAATTTGGTGGTCAAAATGTTTGCGGATAATCAACATACAGTAGTAAGGTAATTAGGCTAATAATAATAATAATAATGCAAAACAATGCTTCTAAGCGCTTTACACATAAAAGAACTTGAAAAATGGAATGACGCCATAAAATATCCTAACAGTAACTAAAAATGGAAATAAACGCTGATGAACCCTTTTCACCGCTCCGTTCTCCAGCACTTTGAAGCTCCCATAATTGAGAGCTCACTGGAACAGAACTCAAAGGAGCTTGAGTGAAATGGCATCTGATTTTCCTATCCTACCAACAAAAAAAATGTAGAGTGAATTTTGAGGAAAAAATATAACAATCAGATTCAATAAGTTTTCGAGTTTAAGCAAGAGGAGCAAACTAATTCATAAAAAGATGATGCTTTAGATATTTTTAAAAAATGTCAATTGACTAAGTATCTTTAATGGCTTGTGGAAGATCATTCCAAAGGCGAGTAGCAGAAAAGATGAATGATCTATTGCCAAATATTGTGTTTACAATTAACTGGTAAATCACACGAATATTTTTTCGTTGGAATGGGCCCATAGTCTATGAATGGATTTGCTACAGGTATTGCCCTTCAGTGGGTACAGTTTGACATGTTTGTAAATAGTAGTTTCATCTTTATTTTCAGTTAATATTTTTTGATTCCCTAATTAATTTATAAACTTAATTTTTGAATTAGTTTTTGGGTCTATTGTTCACTTGTACCAAGTGCAAACTTTGCTATCATCCCGTTCAAAAAATACATCTGCTTGGAAGAATGATGGGATGCATCGTAAGCTAAAGATAGAAATGAACAGTCTTCTAAAAGTAGTCCTATGGAGTATGATGGCATGCCTAGACTAGTCCTAGAAAGAACTAAAATGTCAACAATCTCTTACTTGTACAGTTATTCATGTGACTTGCCTACACAAATAGCATGGATGGGTTATGAGTACAAAATAGCATAAAAAAAAAAAAATCTGTATGTAGCAGTAGACACTCGCTTCCGCTGGGGCATATTTTTCCTAACCATGATCAAGTTACTAAAGTTAGGTGTTCTGTTGGATACTATGTAATCCCTAGATCTTTGGTGAAATCCTCCAAACGTGGGGATTTGCTCTAATGACAAACAATTATGGCTATTAATACTAGTCTTAACATCTCTACTCCTTAAGCAGTAAATTGAGTTTAGTTAGACCATCACAATGTTGTATTCTTTTTGAGAAATCTAAAAATAGTACTTGAAGTTTATTTATGTATTGAGTGTAAATGCTATATTTTAATTTTTATTGGCTGTTTCCACACTATCATGGAAAAGGTGTTTGGGTTTTTTCTTGTTTTTTTCTCTCACATTTACCAAAGGATTTGTAAACAGTGCTTTGTACTTGGTCACTTTCTAAGCTTAGAGCCTAATTTTTCTTATTACAGAGCAGATTTGATGGCTGTTTTATCTAACATTAAATTCAAAATGTATGTCATTCTTGATTGATATCATTCATTCTTTTATAGATGTTTCTTATTAAAATATTTGATTTAGCAGCTTAAAATTACCTAGCACTAGACAATGTATTTTTAGGCCTTGTCTAGGGAGGCTAGGTCTAGCTGTTTCATCTGTGAGCAAATTCACCCACAATGTATAAATATTGTATGGAATATTAAGCGGGCCTGATGTGATATGAGTTACACAGTCACTTAATTTCAAATGTCAGGTTTTAATTTAATATGAAAGGCATGCATTATGCAAGTTATAAAAAGCCCAATGATCCATTGTGCAGACATCAAGTTATATTTTAATTTTTTATACTTTAAACCTTTCTGATAATGCTACAGTTAACATATCCTAGTAGAGCCCACATGAATTAATTCACAAGATGTAGCTGTTGTGCACTTTATTAGTATTTTTTATCAAAACCATTTTAACTGTAAGTTGCAAATGTTTTATCACACTATGTACAGTATTTCATCAATGATGGTAGAATATTTGTGGAAGCGGTTTGGGTACACTGGTAACGGTTTGGTTCCCAACCTCGAGGTCGGGGTTTCAATTCTTGCTGTGCATTTTCCTTGTGTCCTTGAGCAAAGCACTTTATCTGTGTTGCTTCTGTCCACCCAGGAGTATATAATGGGTACCTGGTGGGGTACCAATAATGCAGCAACACAATGACCAGGGAAAACAAAGCAGTTCGTAATCTAACAGAACAGGCACTATATAGCTTGGTTCACATCGGTTATTGTCGACATAAGTAGATAAACTATTGAACAGCGCTACACTCCTAATTGCGTTCGATGGTCCGATTATGTCGAGATACCTTGCTGGACCAACTACGCTCACGAGAGCGGCGGTTGTGATCCCGGTGTGACCAAGATCACGCATTCGTACAGCCATTTGCTCATGAATGGTAGCTTTTTTGTCTGTACATTTTATCTTCCACCTTTTCACATACCTCTGGTTCCTTCCAAATGTCAATAAGATCGAATTCTTCTTCATAAGTCCAACAATGTCGCTTTTTGTGTACTTTCTCGGTCATAATTGATATAAAGATCTAAGCTAGGCCTACACTGAAAAACCTTTCGAACGATCAAAATAAACTAACAAGCAAGCAAGCTTGCTAAGGGTCAACCGGCTTCGTTCTGATTGGTGTATTCGTGACCTGAGGCCACCCGTGGTGCGTTATCAACTCGACGATGACTGGATTTACAAGTTAGTCGAGCTAACAGCCATCGTCGAGTTATGAACTTTATCTCGCCGTAATTGACCGTTCACGTCGAAACTATTGTCGACATCAAGTAGATAATCTAGTCGACATAGTTCGATGTGAACGAGGCTTATATATACCAGCACAACACCTATCATATTGGGTCCCTGGTACATAAATAATCCATCAGAATTTTATTTTTAGTGGTTTATTTCACTGTTATCAATCTAGTCTGCCTCCCTGTTTTTTGTCTTGTAAAGGCAAATTGTAATTAATTTATAGATATTTGTAATAAAAAGTATGTAAATCTGCAAAACTACATTTCCTTTATCTGTGTGTGTGTGTGTGTTTATTTGATCATGGAGGTATAAAATTATTCATTTTAACTGAATAATTCAATGTATTTATTGGCTTTTTAATGGATTTTTCCAGATTTTACTTTTTAGTGTAACTTTTCATATAATAATTCAATGCAGTCTGTGATGCAGTCCTCAAGTGGCCATTAATAGTAGTCTGTATTACTTTAGGTTCATTATCCAGTGGCCTTGTTTTTATCAAGTCAAATGAGAGATTCTGTCCAATCACATTACTGTACTTGAATTGAATTATATAACAGTATGCTGTATATAGTCATCTTGGCACTCGGAATATAATACCGTGATCTTCAGTTCAGTTCTACATTTGTCATTAATTTGATTGCACAGTATAGCCACAAATATAATTTTGAATTAGTGTTTGTTGGTTTGTTTTTCAGCACTCATATCTTGAAATAAAGGCATTCATTATGGGAAAGCAGAATAGTAAACTACGACCTGAGGTCCTCGTTGATCTTCGTGAACAAACAGAGTTCACCGAAACAGAGCTGCAAGAATGGTACAAGGGATTTCTAAAAGGTACTAATTATTTCTATTTGATTGCACTCTTATCTTAAATACCATGGTGAGCTAGGACAGTTCCATTATTACTATTATTATTATTATTATAATTATTATAATTATTAATATTGTTATTATTATTATTATTATTATAGTTTATTATTATTATTATTATTATTATTATTAGGTTGGTTTTTGCTTCTAAAACTTTCATGTCAATAAACATTAATTACATGTCACTGAAAAGAAGCTCATTGTGTGAACAAGAGTTTATGGTTACAGTTTTGTATTTAAAGAAGCTCATTGTGTGAACAAGAGTTTATGGTTACAGTTTTGTATTTAAAGTGCTTTCCACCTCTTCTTTGTTCTGGTTAGTCTGACACAGTTATCCAAACTATATTGTAATTAAAAAATACACTGTGTGTGATATGGTTATACCTTGCGTATATGTGGGAAAATCATAGGAAGTTGTTACATACTCCATTTTTAAGCATAATCTCAAAATCCTTCTATTACCAACAATAACTTGACGCTCCAGCCAAAAGATATGCATATAAACTGCATTTGGTTGTGTTTGTGTCTGTGTGTGTTTCTTGTGGGCGTAAATTGAGAGTTTTCCTTTTGGTTAGTAGCATTCTTCCTTGAGACACTTATGTAGCTGTTAGAGGTACCTGTTTAAATTATAGTTCATGAAGTGAAATAAAAAAAACAAAAAACAGACATTTGTCACAGAAAATTTGATAAGTTGTTGATATGTAGATCATATTGCTTGGCTGTGCACTTGACCAGCAAACTGCTGGGACTAACCTGCGACGGACTAGTGTCCCGTCCAGGGGGAGTACAACTCTCATCCGCTTCACACTACAGAAACTGGAGATAAGCTCCAGCCCTATGAGCCCCAGTGGCTCGGAAAGGATTTAGTAATAGTTAGTTATATAAGATTTGTAGTGCCTGTTGGTCTCAGCAGGTATAAATTACAAGAAGATGCAATGTGCTTTGTTTTCTGTGTCTGCATTTAGGTTAAATAAGAAGTAAATAAAGTAATGATTATTGTTATCATTATCATAGTCATCATCAAAAACAAATTTATCAAATTATTTTTATTGTAATAATTATCATCTTGATCATCATCATCATTGCACTCATATAGCAATTATGCTGTACTGTAGATTAGATAATTTTTATTGGTCCATTCATAAATCCAGTATACAGACCAATAATGCTAATCAATAACAATAAAATACAAATTGTTAGTAAAAATCCCTAGTATCCATGCTTACCCCAAAAACATTTAATTGTTTTTAATTACACTAATAATGGTATATTGCCATACTGTTTTTTCTTTAGTTATAGGGCTCACTCCAACAACCTGAAGGCTTTTGCATATTGCCCATTTTATACCTGCGCTAATAATAATATTAAACCAATTTATTTATTTTATTATTCTTAATATTTTCGTTTTCTTTTTATAAATCCTAAATATGGTGGGCCCCAGTAACTTTAATATTTAGCTGAAACAAGGATCACTGAAGTTTCCCACACGGGTGTACAATATTTTAGAGGCTATCACTTTTAGTTTGTAATATGCAACTACTATGCTATAGGTTGATAGATCTAGCAGAGAAGACGTGCCCTGTAGAATAAAAATAAACAACTTAACAACATCTGTTATATGATGCATTCTTTCTAAAAATAAATTTATGTATTCAAATATTATTATTAATGCTATGATTACAAATACGATTCTCTATGTAATAGTGTACCAAAACTGTATGACTGTATATTGGTAAGATATAATTTCAATACTATTTTTATGCTGTATTGAGGGTTTACATTTCCAGCTGTTGTTAGAGTAGGTCTATATTTGTGCAGTCTTGGTTGTTTTTGCACATTGCCAACTGACCATAGGATCTTGCAATCCTGTCAAAATAACCAACTTCTTTTTAAAAAGAATCATTTGATTGCGAAGCATGTGATGTTCTAAATTGAGATCATTTTCCCATTAACTGAACCATCAACCTTGCATCGATGGATGGGAAAATAGTTACATCAAATTCACAAAATTTCCATTGTCTTGATCGTGAAGAATTTTCCGAAGATCTTACTAGCTCTTTACATGGGTTTCCTTTTGATAATGATCTTGACCATCAGGTTGCATTTTACTGTAACACCACCCTTGCTATTACACCACCCTTGCTGTTCTAGATAAATACAGTCCGGCGGTTTCGCGGACACATAATTCAGGTCACAACCCGGTTGGTACACACAAATCATTTTCCTGGCCAGACGTAGGAGACGTATGTTAGAATGGAAATGGAAAAAATCAGCCACACCCAAAGATCATTGACTTTATCTGGATGAAGTTCACACATTCTGGAAGCTGGTTCATATGGCAAAATCAAAATATTATAATGCCCTACTGAACAGATATGAAGTTGCGCTTCCAAGTTCGGATTTTATGGCTAGTCTGAGCAAACGATTTAGAAAGTATTTTAAAGAAAAGATTGTTAAAATCAGAGACAGTATTGTTTCATCAGCAACACTTTGACCCTCTTGCAATAGCACTGTTTTCTTCAATGAATCAATCAATCAAAATATTTATATAGCGCCAATATCCTGAAAGGTTCAGTGGCGCTGTCACACTTGTTCAGAATGTTGACAGATGAGAAATTTTCTTAGAGAAATTACCAAAACTTAAATTCGTAATCTAATCATCAAATCATAAATAAATCCTGCTCTCTGGGCTTCATAAATGAAATATTGATGCTTGTCTCTCTGCAGTTACTTAAATTTGAATATATCATTGTCTATAGGAGAGTTCCTGGCTGCTCTGACAAAAAGCAACAGTTACACCTTTACTAAAGTCAACACCCGATAAAGAAACACTAAAAAACTACAGGCCTGTGTCAAATATTACATTTCTCTCCAAGATAATTGAGAAAGCTACATTTGCATGCGTCTCTGAACAACTTGTGTTGCAAGTTCAGTCAACTTACAGAACTTGATCGTAGTACAGACTGCTTTGTTAAGGGTCAAGAGTGACGTAGTTCAGGCGATCGATAATCTACAAACTGTGATCATTGTATTGCTTGACTTGTCAGCTTTTGACACTATTGAATATAACATTCTCCTAGATTGTCCTCAGCATTTGGATTAAAAAATGATGTCAATAATTGGTTTCAGTCTTACCTCCGTAGTACAAGCACAGTTAAGATTTTCTGTGAATATTCAGATCCTGAAGTTCTTGATTTTGGTCTGCCACAGGGCTCATGATTTGGACCTTGGATGTTTTCATGCTACACACATCCATTAACTGACATCATCAACCACCATCACAGAGTAAAATTTCATTTCTATGCTGATGATACACATCCGTACATTTCTTTTGATCCCCAGAACCCTGGCAAAACTGAGCGGACACTTTTGATTTTGACCGAATGTATTCAAGATATTTAAGTGTGGTGGAAAATATGCTTCTTCTAAATGAAGATAAAACAGAACTTTTATCATCTCAAACCCAAGACTCCTGAACAAACTATCAGATGTTTACATCAATATCAGTAACAACACAGTTAAACTTTCTCATAGCATAATATATCTTGGTGTTCAGTTTGAAAGCATCATGAACATGTCCAACCATGTTATGTCAGTTTGCAAAACAATTTTCATTTAAGAAACTTATCTCGCTTATTAGAACCTTCATCCATGAAGACAGTTGTCCTTACGCAATTTGGGCTCTTGTGACTTCACATGTCGACTACGCAAATTCAATTCTTCAAGGCTCATTTTGCAAAGATATTAATCGTCTTTAGCACCTGCAAAACAGAGTGGCCAAGCTGATTTTTATAGCAAGAAAGCATGGTCATGTAACATGTAACACCTCGAACAACTCTATTGGCTTCCGGTTCATAAACATATCACATTCAAAATACTCACCATCATCTTTAAATGTTCTATTGACTGTGCACCATCTTTACTTTACTGACCTTATCACATCTTTACCAATCTAATCACAGTGGTCAATACCCTACACCACTAGGCCCTGGATACAGTTTCAAGATATTTAAGTGTGGTGGAAAATATGCTTCTTCTAAATGAAGATAAAACAGAACTTTTATCATCTCAAACCCAAGACTCCTGAACAAACTATCAGATGTTTACATCAATATCAGTAACAACACAGTTAAACTTTCTCATAGCATAATATATCTTGGTGTTCAGTTTGAAAGCATCATGAACATGTCCAACCATGTTATGTCAGTTTGCAAAACAATTTTCATTTAAGAAACTTATCTCGCTTATTAGAACCTTCATCCATGAAGACAGTTGTCCTTACGCAATTTGGGCTCTTGTGACTTCACATGTCGACTACGCAAATTCAATTCTTCAAGGCTCATTTTGCAAAGATATTAATCGTCTTTAGCACCTGCAAAACAGAGTGGCCAAGCTGATTTTTATAGCAAGAAAGCATGGTCATGTAACACCTCGAACAACTCTATTGGCTTCCGGTTCATAAACATATCACATTCAAAATACTCACCATCATCTTTAAATGTTCTATTGACTGTGCACCATCTTACTTTACTGACCTTATCACATTTTTACCAGTCTAATCGCAGTGGTCTTGGTTCAGGTTCTTATACCTGGCTGTTGAAGAAACCTAGAACAATTACATCATCAATCAAAGGATTTTATGCTTCTGCACCCAGCCTCTCTGGAATGATCTCCTACATCACATCCGACACTCTATCCCGGATATCGAAACTTTTTAAGCTCGGGGCCAGTTCCAATCTCTTGAGACAACGGCAACTTCTTCAAGCGGTGGATTCAAAATGGAAGGGGCCCGGGAAGAACTTTCACAGATAGGGGGAAAATACCAGCTCAGCCCTACCATGGTTGGGGCTGAGGTTTGAAAATATATTATGGCACCTCTAGATGTTTGGAAACTTAATTTGAATATAATTTTCTTTTCTTCTACATTTTGTTTTAGAATTTTGAAAAAAAAAAAAAACTTTCACTCCAGGTTCTCCTACCCTACCACTAGAAATTTTCCTACCTCAAAAATATCCACTCACCAGTGGTTGGGGTTAAGGTGAGCAAATTTTTAACATAGATACCTCTAAATTCTTGGAAATGGCACTTTTAGACTCAAAAATTAGTTTTCAAAACTCAAAAGCATGCCCCCAAATAGTGCTGCAAATGGTTAGACGTCGCATCATATCAGTGCCCCACTTAATCCATTATCCCTCCATTATCCCGATTGCCCCATTAATCTTCCTCTCCCCATGTCAATACCCTACACCACTAGGCCCTGGATACAGTGAGCTACACTCAGAAAAAGCCACACTCTTGTACACAATGTTAGAGTAGGGGGTGCCTAGGTGGTGTTTAAAAAACAGAAAACTTTTTTCAAAATATCGGCCAAAAAATTGTTTATTTTTAGCAATGTTGCGCAGGCCGGACCAAAATTTTTGGCGGGCCAGACATGGCCCGCGGGAGTGGGGGAATACCGGCTCTACATCAATTACACAGTTTAAATCTTCCCTGAAGAGTCATTTATTTAGTATTTAAATATTCAAACATATCCAACTTATTACCTTTGTTTTGTAAAGCACTGTGGTATCTTTGATAAGAGCATTCTATAAATGACTGCATTTATTATTATTATTATTATTTAAAATATTTTAATAACTACAAATTAAACTACAGTAATAGTAAATATGTTTTTTTTTTTTTGTTTTTTTTGGCTAATGAATTTTGAACCATGTATTTTTATATTGCTAAATGAAACTTCTTAAATACAAAGATGGAACACCAAATAGCTTTCCTGTAAGGCACAGATCCAGTAGGGGGAACAGGGGGAATGTGCCCTCCCCCACCTGTTTTGCCACTAACTTGTTAAATTTCAATGCCCCTGCCTATTAAAGTAAGCTGTAGTAGTAGGTAGTAGCTGTTGTTATTTGTTGATTTATTATTATCATTAAATTTTGAATTTATTGTGTCTTTAGATTGCCCAAGTGGTAGGCTGACTGTTGAAGAATTCAAAAAGATCTATGGAAATTTTTTCCCATACGGTGACGCGTCAAAGTTTGCCGAGCATGTATTCCGCACATTTGACCAAAACAATGATGGTTCGATTGATTTTCGGGAGTTTATCTGTGCCTTGAGTGTAACATCACGTGGCAACCTTGAACAGAAATTAAAATGGGCCTTCTCCATGTATGATTTGGATAGCAATGGCTTTATCTCAAGAGGGGAAATGCTAGAAATAGTACGAGTAAGTATATTTTAAAATTTTGTTATTTTATTTCAAATCTCACTCAACAGAGGGTAACTCACACTTACAGAATAGATTAAGAATTAAATATAAATATTTATTTGAATAAAAGCTCCCCTTCCTTTCCCCATGTATAAACGCTTCCTTCGGGGGCCTCATTTCGAATAAACGCCTTCCTCAAATAAACCTCGTTAAGGGGGAGTTTATTCAAGGAAAACGTCCCCCTAAATAACTGTAAAGGAAACTAATGGAAGCAACATCATTCTCAACACATTATAATAATGTTCTACTTCAGTAGAATTAATTTTTTTTTTAACCTGGTTATAAGTTGGGGTTAAAAATCTTTAGGGCTCCCTCGAATAAATGCCTCTCTCAAATAAACACCCTCCCAAAAACTTTCTTAATAAATGCCCTGGGGCATTCAAATAAATATGGTATGTATTTAATTAATTTAAAATAAATACCAAAATTGGTTTCAAACGCCCTGTTCGTTGGCTAAACTAACCCATGGACCTGATATGTTTGATCTAAAAACAGCCAATACAAACTGCCTGCATTCTCCTTGGTCAAATTAAAAGCTGCATGCAATTCAAGCAGCACCATGTCAGTTAATTACTGTATATCAGAATCAATTTAACTTACTAGGCTTTGACCCAAAAACTCTTTAAATTTTTGTATTTTATCTACTTCTTAGGCAATTTATAAAATGGTTGGGTCAGTGATGAAGATGCCAGAGGATGAATCTACGCCGGAAAAACGAACAGACAAGATTTTTAGACAAATGGACAAGAACTTAGATGGGAAGCTCTCCCTGGCAGAATTTATAGAGGGCGCTAAGAGTGATCCCTCTATAGTAAGGTTATTGCAGTGCGATCCCAGTGGTGCGGCCTCGTTCATGTAGGCCAAGTGCACAGTGCTGTTTTACTTGAAAAAATGGCACTGCAAAATGTAAGATTTTGGGATCTGGACATAATATAAAATAAAAAAGTTTGTAAATTTTCCATTTTTTTGAAAAGGATATTGCTAATGTTGTGATAGCTTATATTTTAGTAAAGTTGATGGAACTGACGTTTTTCATTCGTTTGAATAAATTTTGGCGACATTTTCCAGTACTTTTTTTCTTGATATGATAACAGCAGACATATTTGCTTTAGATCAACATATCATTAATTTTCTACAGAATTCACAAGATTATTTTCTTAAGATTCATACAAATTTAGAATAGTTAAAAATACATGGTTTTTTTTTTTTTGTTTGTTTTTTTTGTATTGCTTAACAAAAGTATAAAGTATGCTTACTTGTTGCTATATGCAATGTTCTTTGTAATTAATTTCTGCTTTGTGGTTGAAACTGTTAATACTACTTGAATTGTTGATGAATTCACAAAATATTCTGGCAACCTTTCTGGTGACAATGTTGTTGCTAGGCATGTACAGAATTTTATACCCTCAGATATTTAAAAGAATTATTGTCATTGTTTTTGTTAGAATCTGTATCTGTTGTTTGGTTTATAGCTAACATGTAAAGAATGATTTTAATATTAATTAGAGAATAATTAAGAAATTTTGTAAACTGCAAAATTCATAAATCTATTGAATGCTTCATGCATTTTCCAATCAGTGTTTGCTGTGTGCATTTGTGTATCATTATGAAATTTCCAGCTGAACTTAAAAAAAAATTACAAGCTTGTTTATGGTCGGCAGGTCATAATTTATAAACAGTTTATGTAGGTTGACATTCAATATTGCCTAATGTGCTATTAGCTTTGACATCCATTTACGTTTCTTTTGTAATATTTTCTACCTGATTATCGCCATTAAGTATTTAACAAGATCCTATGTTTTATTTATAGTCATTGACATTTCATCTAGAAAACAAACGTCTGAACATGATATATCTGGCAGGGACATAAGAGGTGATGAGTACCTCTTCATGCTTCATCAACTACATTAGAAATCTTAATAGGAATAGTAATTTAAAACATAAACATAACACTGCAAAAATAATGTAGGATGTTTTTATGTGGGCTGCATTTGTGCTGTATTTTCAATACAATATTTTCATGTTCTTTAGTTAAATAAAAGACATAAAGGGATGAATTAATACACTAGACACATGATTTTATTTGAACACTTTATTATGACATCGTAAAGGAATGAATAAAAACACTAAACACATGGTTTTATTCGTAGGCCTAGAGGCTAGGTCTAGCCTAGCTAGGTAACATCATTCGTTCATACATACATGCGTATATTGAGGTTACGTACGTATTAGGTCAAAGGTTACCACAAATTTAACCCAACCTCTAT